AAACCCCCCCCCCCCATTTCTCACAATTTTCAAAAAGGCAGGGTTCAACTTGAAATTCAGATTCTACAGGGGAAAATTAGTACTTTGAAAGTTCCTGGCAGTCTCTTCCTAGGACCCCTCTTGTTTGACATGTGGGGCATTTTGGGGAAAACTTTTAATCGGATTCCATGGGTGCTCAGCGCACACAATTTATACAATTTTAAAAAAAATTTGATAGAGGCCAATTAGGTCTTTCTTTTGATCCACATGACCCTTGTTGACCCTAACTTAGAGGGGTCTAGATCCACCCCCCCCCTCCCCAATATTTTGGGGCTTTTGGGAATAGGTCAAAAATTCCTAATGGCAAGGATGTATTTTGACCTCAGATTTGAATTCTACAAGAAAAATTATGTAGAATTGTTAAGGCTTATGATCTTTTCATCCCAAATTGGCTTAGGACTCAAGGAAAGTTGTAAAACTTAATTTGGAGCCGTTCTCGAGACATAGATATTAGATAGTATGTGTAGTATTGTGGTGTGATGGTCGGAATCACCCTGTATTTAGAAGGTGATGACCGCATGACTGAAAACCTAACCTTGGATCACCCTGTATGCAACAAGTGATATTACTTTATCAGTTTATTGAAAGGTGTGAGCAAGGGATAGAAAGCAAACAGACTCTGGCACCATGGCAACGTCCGAAAAATTAGAGGTGCCCCGATTTTCTTCTGAATAGTGATGTCCAGCTCATTAAATAATTAGACAATAGGATTCATTATTTCAAAATGTCAGTGGTTCTAGAGGATAAGTATTTGCCGCGAGTAAGCTGTGCGGATTGGGAGAAAAAAGTTCACCATTTACAGGAGGTTTCCTCCTCTCAAAGAGCAGGGTCCACAGCTCTTCGTTTTGAATCTAATCAGTTGAGAAATGAAACTGAGATAGAGGTGTTGTGGAATAAGTACAACAGTAACAGGAAACTAGCCGACAGGTACTGCTTACGTTAGACTTTATGATAAAAGTATGTATAGAATTAAAGACAATTGCCTTTATATGAAGTTCGAGATTACGAATTTTGATATATAAAGATTAGGCATGCATAAAATTATTAAAATTCAATGAATTGATTTTACTCAAGTTAAATAATATGTTTTAACTAAAAAACATTTAGATTGACTGCGCGATAAAACCTTATACTTCTTCCATTTTACTGAAAACTCACCCTCGTGGCCAAAACTAGTAGCCCTAGTATCAGATATGTATTAAGTGGATACCGTTTTCATATACAGGGTGATTCAGAAGTTCTTTCCACCCCTTCTAACTTTTTTCTTAATGGAGGTAAAGATTTCAAACTTGGTATACAGTTCTAGGACAAAGAGAGGTACTTTTTAGCCTCCCTAAGATTTTCAGGGAAGCGAGAGCCCCTTGTGAGGAGAGGGGATTCGGCTTCCAACCTTTTATCTCCAACAAATAGAGGATCCTTTTAGGGATACCTCTATCGGGAGAACATAAAAAAAGAAAAATTTACGTGCAAACCCGAAGTCATTATTTCAAACTGTTAAAAAAATGACAGACGGTTATTTATTTTTCGGTATTTAATGCATATTATATGGACCAGTAGACAGGATATGAAATTTAACTTTCTGATAAAAGTTTCACGAAGTTAGGCTACAATCTACACAACAAAAATTAGTGAAATTAACTTCTAACCACGATAATAACGTTTTGTTATGCATGAATTCAAATTTCCTGCTCATGGAAAAAAAAAATCTACTTGAGTTAAATTAAATCGCACATTAAACGTTACTCTTACAGTCTCTGCGATATTAAAATATGGCAACCTCGATCTTAATGCTTTGGCTCAGATATAGCAAGTCGTTTAAATTAAGAACAACACAGGGTGGGAGAGGAACAATGCCCAATTGAGAAGCCTGCCATAACCGTTGTAGTGTGCAATTTGAGTTACGTAAATTATTGCTTTTCTTGTGACCGGGCGATTTAAATTTCCTGGACCATTGTAACATAAAAACGGTGATGTCTTAGATAAAAGTTAATTACAGTAATTTTCTTTTTACGAATTGTGTTCCAAGTTAAATTCTGGCTAGGAGACATGTATCAGAATGCTTAAATTCGTAGCTTGTCTATTGGTTACATATTTTTTTCGTATCTTTTACCACTTAATATGTGTCTCACATGGTTTTTTGGGAACTGGAGCATTTATAGAAAATTTTCCTGAAAGAGGACAAAGGGATTTTCCCAAGGGCACAAAAAATCCTTAGCCTTACGATAGTTTTCAATCAGGCCTTCCCATAATGTAGACCCTCTTTCCCCCAAAAATTTTACGAATGATGATCAAACCCTCCTCTTCTCCTTTCATACTCTTTTGGGCTTGTCACTACAATAAACGCAATAAACGCTTTGCCGCTCATGTGCGGTCGAGCAGTTTCTATACCCTCTTGGATTGTGTCAAAAAAGCTTTCATCCATAAAGAAAGTTCCCCTGTTTTATATTGTTCAAAATACTGTCAACGATTGACTTCTAACCCTGCTGCTACTGTGGTTAACACGTACCTCCAAATAGAATGCAGGGAGAAAACAGGCTAAAACATTTACATATCTCAAAATCTGTGGCTTTTTGCTTGATATTTCACGCAGAGTATGTTTAAAATAGTACATCATTACTTAAGATTTCTTATGGCTTCATTAGGATCAAAGAAATTGAAAAATGGAGATACATTTTGGAGCAGCAACTACAAAATGTCAAAGGCGAACTTGCTGCGGTGAATAATGAAAAAAGCCTCACAGACAACCAGATTCAAAGTTTGAACATTCTCTTCTCATTAGTAAATGAATGTTTGACAATTCGAAATGAAAGGAACTGTGCTGATTTATGTGAGGACATTGGACAGACTGAGCTGAGGAAGGTTAGCCACACACCCTCTCTGAGATAAGTGAAGAAATATCTTACTTGAGAAAATTTGCAAACATTTTATTTTCCATGAACAAAAGAATTAAGTTTTTCCTCTCATTAATTTGTATAATTCAGACAAAACATGTTGCCGAAGATGTTAAATTTACTAAATTGATTAAAGTATCCAGATGAGAGTTCTTATAAAATGTCACTCTAATGAGTAGGTATTCAGAGAAAAATATTCCTACAGAAAGAAGGAATGTTTAATGATAACGTAGTACACGGGTCGTCTTGATTACCCTATAGGTGTACGTAATTGCGGTCCATGATCATCAGTTAATGAGGGACACATAGAAAATTTAAGATTTAACTGTTAAATTCAAACCAAGTTAATGTTTCTGCAACAGTACTGTTCACTTGAACCAGATAGAAAATAAGAGAGCTACTGTTTTGAGAACAGGAACATTCGCTTTTGGAAAGAATGAAAAAAACGCTGACTGACCAAAGCCTTGCTGGATGGGAGCAAATAAAAAGGCTAGATGAATTGAAGGCAAAGTTGGAGTATGATTTGGCAGACAAACACAAAACATTGGACATCGAAAGTACCTGTCTTCAACTGGAGCCAACCAGCTCTGACATTTCCTACAAAGCTGACGCACTCAGAAATCTCAAATTGTAGGTATATCTCTGAACTCAAGGGTGAAAAGCAAATAACACCTCGGACCTAAAGGGGTAGCATTGAAAGACTATGAGGCTATCATAGAGGAGTTAAAGGTGTACCGACTTCTGAAAGGTTATGCACCTTTTTCTCCCATGCTTCTTCCTCAGACATGTTCCTTGATTACAAAGATTTCTGTCTAACTTAAGCATTCTAGCCCGTTTTCTTTCCTGTTTGCTACCACCTAAGAATTTAACAATTAGTTATATTAGGCTTGAGGTTTTACGAAACTAACTTTTAAAAATACATTGATCAGAAAATCATCTAAAATACGGAAACAATGAAAAACGAGTTCATTTAATACTACTTATTTTTTTATCCGCACATTGATCTTACACCATCAATTTTTAAAAGTAATATACCTAAACCTTAATTCTTTGCTTAACTCTGTTTGAAAACCAATATAGACACAGTAATTTTTTAGATTGAAAACGATCATAATTTTATCATGGGGTCCCAAGTAAAATTTTCGTCTCCCTCTAATGACAGGTTCATCAGTCATGAGGCTTGGCTAGCTCGCTGCGAGAGTTTGAAGAACTCAGCAGATTGTGAAGTGCGAAACAGTCAAAAATTATGCGAGGAAATGTGCGTGCCAAGACAAAAATTCCATAATGAACTGTTCATCCAAACTGAAGCAACAAACTTTGCTTTAAGAAAACGAGTATATGAAACAAGACGCTTGAGAAATGAGCTTGATTGGCAGAATCAAAAGGTACTGCTTCCTGTTTAGCTCTCATCAATGGGTCTGTTGTAAAATTTTACCAGAGCAAAAGGAAACATCGCCTCTTTTGAAATATGGTTTAAAAGTCAAAGTGAACACATCGGGAAAGTCTGAGGATTACTCCTAACTTTACAATCTCCGCTTTCTTGAGCTTCCAGCGTCAAAAAGTACACATCAGCAAAGGCATAATTTGATGCAGATGAGTCAACTCAGTTTCGCAACTTCACACAAAATTGAAAATAGTCACTGTAATGTGTCGCAGCAAACACAAACACTTGGCCATTTATCTAACATCTTCTTGTTCCTGATTTTCAAATTAAGTTAAGTTATAAATGGAGTGTTTTTGTTGTTTGGTTTTATTTAAGGAACTGCATCACACAACAAAGGCCACTTATAACTTCACAAGGAGTTGTGAGATGAGTGTGACTCATCTGCTTCAAATTACGTCTTTGTCATTGATTACTTTTTGAATAGGGAAACCAAAAAATATGCACCTTTGTCATGCAGATTTTGAAGTTAGGAGTGAATTTTAGACTTTCCCAAATCGCTGCTTGTGATTTTTAATCCATTTTCCTGCAAAAACATCTATTCTTTCTGCTCTGGCAAAAGTTTGCAAAGAACACCACATTAATTTAAAAAAAAAATAGGCTAACGTTCATCAGGGAGGTAAAAGGAAAATTTTGCTACAGTTTTCCATTGACTAGTATTTTCAACATTTTCCAGCCATCACAAAGTTTCTTTGATGAAACGCTGCTTTATTTTCGAAAAACTTGGTTGAGGAGAGTTTTGTATTGGTCCTAATTTGAAGCATGTTCACTCTGCTGTGCCTTGCGTGGCAAAACGCCGTACTTTGGCAGGAGACTAGTTGACAGCGTACCTCAAGCCCTCTGCTGTACACCACCAATGACACCTACTGTGGTCGAAAGATAAAACTCTACGAGCTAGCCTGAAAATCTTCTTGCAAGGGAAAGAGGAGCAGATCATACATTCTATTCACCAATGTTTTTACCTGATAAGCAGAACGAAAACAAAGACGTTCTGCAGACAGGCCTGATTTTTTTGCTTGCACTCAACTCTCTTCAACTGAGTTTCTTGAGAGTAAAGCACCCCTCCGCCAATGAAACTTTGTGATAGCTGAAAAGTTACAAATATTGGTCAAACAATAAACAGCCATAAAGTCAATTTACTCTCAGCTTGCTAGGGTATCCCTGTTGATTTTGGGTCTTTCAATCTTCTTTTCGATTCACGGCACTACTGTTACTAACAGGTTAAAGAAAGCTATTTTTGTAGGAGCTCAAAAAGCTCTCTTAGCAGCTTTTTCACTTAGTTACTTAGGATACTATTGTGATTAGCAAAATAGGTGTTGCCCTACAACAATTTTACGGCAGAGTATTGTGCTCTAAGAGCTGTCTAGAGAAAAATATGTCTGCGCTAAATTATCCTGGACTCAGGATTGAGGTAATGAGACAGATCAGGAGACAGAAATACATTCACTTTAAGTAATAATCTAGTTTTTATTCAATTCTAAAAAAAGGCATACATATGTCATAACTGTCAATTACCTGCAGGTATTATTAAAATAGGTTTCTATTTGAAAAACAGGTAAAACAAGAAATGGAGAGGCTAATGAAGGAAATCAATGAAATCGATCAAGCTCTACAAGCAAAAACTAATGTTCTGAAACTAGCTGAGACAAGAATAGAGAAGCGGATGTTCAGGCCTGGGACTGAGCTGTGTAATGATGATACCTTATCTGGGTTGAAACAAGAGATAATATACCTTCGAGAAACTAGAAAAAATCTCTCACATCAATTGGATACTGCCAAGTAAGTTCTAATATGATATAATCAAGGTACAATACTACTTCATTTGGACGGCTTTACAAAATAAGGTAGTAAGAGTCGACTTGTTGATTTTCGGTCGATGACAAATTTTACAAAAAAAAAGTGGATCCGACCAAGAAGAAGAAGAAGAAGAAAAAAAAGTCCACAACGCTCTGCATCACTTTTAAAAATCCTGCAAAAAGTACTTTCCGTAGATTCAACAAAGGTTCACTCTGCAATTGTTGGTTCCCTACTGCTAAACACCTAAGTCACAATTTCCAATTTTACAATGCCGAACTACATAATGCCAGAGGACTGACAATCAGTGAGGCATGCCAAAAAATCACAGACTTGAACCAAAATTTGAACCATAGACATGATCAGACATGCATCCGTTGACCATTTTTTGTCACTGAAAATACAGAGACATTTTCCCTAACTGTTTTCAACTCTAATACATTCTTTTCTTATTTTTTGAACTAAGAATGGGCATGTTGCCAATCGTAAAATTGAAAAAAATGTAGGATATTGCTCTGTGGTCACAATATTTACATACATTTTTACTGGAGCAATGAATTTGAGCTTAATGAGCTCTGAGCCATTACTCATTTCCTTTCCTTTCAAAGAGCATTAAACAATAAAAAAAGGAAAACAAGATGCAATGAAGCCAAATGTTTTGAGGTCACCGCATGGCCCAAAAATAATCAATCAAACCTGAAATTTGGCTGAGTTTATTTAACTTGTAAAAGATGATACCAAATGAAAAATGTAAAATTTTATTAATAACTTAAACATTAAATTTGATTCTTCACGCATTATAGAAGAGAAAACACTACGATGAATGAAGATTTGATGCTTTTTTGAAGCCTAGAAGTAATTTCATCAAACAAAAACAGAGAAAGAATAGTAGAAAATTGACTTCATAAAAGACAGTCATTCAGCCATTTTAAATAACTACATTGATATTTTGATTAAGAAAAAAAGTAGACAAAAATTGTAAGAGACCGTTAAAAATAAGACAATTTTTAGGACTCATACTCAGTTTTTGACAGCATTCCATGTCTTTTCTGTCTTTTCTATGCTCTGCATAGAAACATGGAAAGGTCCAAAAATTGGGAGAAAACTATACACATTTCCATGAAATTTCTAGGGAGGGCAGTATAAGCTGAAAAAGAGTTAGGAAAGTGGGAATTGTGGGAAGATGTAACAAAAACAAAACAAAAAATTGTTGAATCTTTCTAAGTTTTCATTGTTTCCCCACAATTTTTTAATGTTTCTCGTCAAGTTAGGAGGGTTGACTTTTAACATTTTCATAAAAGGATGGAAGGAATTGTACTAGGCATGTTTTCAGTAAAGCATAATCTAAATGCTTAATTGCAAAGAAATCTGCTAAAGGGGGGGGGGGGCGAGTGAGCAAAAAATTGGAGTGTCTTGATTCAAGCTTGAATCCTGAAGAGAGCCTTGCCTTGAAAAAAGGGATTACATACCAGACATTATGGTGCTAAAGAAATCAATAGGTATAAAGAAGGAACAATAATTGCTTCTGCTCTGAGTTAAAATGATAGAGGTCTTCATTCACTTTTTCACAGGGCATGTTACAATGAGTTGGAAGACCAAATGTTGACTTTGGAGCTGGAGCTGGCGGATAAGAATCATGCCTTACAAACCGACATAAAATGCATGGACCTAAGACTTTCAATTTTGTCAAGTGCAAAGAAAAACTAGGCATTGAGTATGTGGCTTCAACTTACAATGGATGTTCGCAGCTACACATAGACGAAGGGGGTTTCAATGGTGAAACTTTTGGTTTGGTGGGTTTTCAGAACTATTTCCAGGAGACGATTTCTTTTTGCAAGAACTTCCAATCGATTTAAAAGGTCCTCTGAAATTGTGTAGATGATAGTCATTTAGTATAGCACGAAAAATAATTAAAAAGAATACAAGTAAACATACAATGACTTCATAGCAACACAGGATGAAAAGTTTTTTTTTCCTCCTCATGTATTCATTTATCACAAGTAACTCCCCAAAGCTAATTCCATGTGACAAAACGACAAAGGCAGCAGTAAATTTCCTTTAGGTAGTTTACACTGGTTAGGTTTTTTACTGTGTTTAGATATTTTTTTTTCTGGTCTGACTAACTACATGTTCCTCCGCATCTATCATGTAACTTAGAAACTAATGTGGGAAATAAAAGATTCAAAATGTTCCATTCTTTTGTGAAGCTTTCGGTATAACTTCATTTTCTTGAACTTACTGAGAATAAAAAGAATAAATTGAATTGAGTCTGATGACTTCTATGATGCCAAAGAGCTTGACTTTTTAAAACCCAAATTTTCCTCCATAGATATCAAAATTGCCATAAACAATTTTATGAAGATTTCCTAGTCATGAAAGATTGTGATGTGCCGATTTAGACAAAAATTGCCTAGGATACTGGTATGTCTTGCCACACTCGTGAGTCAGATGTTAAGTGTTGTCAGTATGCAACCATGGATTTCATGAATTGGTGTTAAGTGTTCACAATATTAATCGCAGCAAGACAATGGTAGTACATCAAATCATTTATATTTGTTGACAAACAGTCGAAGGGTTTGATTACTCTGTTTATATCCATACTAGGTTTACTAACTACAATGGGTGCTACAAAAATGGAGCAATTTCCTTTACCAAATTCCAGGGACCTTAAAGTTAGACAAAATTACTCAAATAGTTACAAAAAAATAAGCAATTAACAAATCGAAAAGTTGATGACGAATAAATGAAGGAATGGGAGGATTTGAAGAAGGAATTGAAAATTAAGCAGTTCAAAACAAAACTTGGTCTGTTTAAAAGGATAACTAGTTTCTAAATTTCATAATGGATTCCCCCCCCCCCCCCCCCCCCCCCNCCATTTTTCAGAGTCACAGAACCTGAAAAGGTGGCAAAAAAGGTGAGATCTAGTCCAAAAAAGCTTGCAGTTGTGAACTTTGCTAAAATATACTGGAAATGGTACTTGACGAGTCCGACATGGATTTGATACAAAAACTCGGAAAAAAAGAGACGGAAAACCCCCGCCTCTATTAGTACGATTGGTTTCCCACATGTAAAAGTGGCAAGCCTTCAGAAAATCTATACTCTTGAGAGAAGTGAAAATTATTTTACTGGAGGACTATGATGAGTTGGAGAGGTGGTAGAGAGAGCACCTTATCATGGTCTGAGGGATGATCGAGCTAAGCCCAAAAAATGCAAAATTAGGAGGAGTATGATGGTGGTTGAAGGTCATTTTTAGTTTTAAAATTAGTCGAATAAGGAATCTATAAATTGATAAAATATATGCATACAAGTGACCTAGGATCGTCTTGCAGCCATCAACCACCGGAAGAAAATTTTACTGAAATAATTGTAAAATGGTCATTCTTGAGTAATTTATAGGTTAGGGAAATGATAAGGTTAGAAGCTATGAAAATCAGAGTCAAAGTTGCCTATCCGCCCATGGCCCTTCAGAAAGTTGGCACTTCCACATTTCTCTAACAATCCTCATTTCCACTCTTTTCCTTGGAGTCCTCTTTGTCTCCTTCCAAGAGGAACCCAGTCAAGCATCTTTTTGTGCATACTTTAATATATCACGACTATCCTGATCTGACAAGCAACCTTTCTGGTTAAAGCAGTTACAAATTGTGACTTATGTCAGGTCAACAAATATTTTTCATCAATTATCTCTTGTAGAAGAGGTTGATGCATTAACCTTCTCTGGCTTCCCTTGACGAAACTTGGATGAATCAATAGATTGAATTCTGGGCCCAATTTTTATGGAGGTTGCATCAACCTCTTGCCAAAGAGAAACAAGCACTAATTGCAAAAGTTGCATGAGATACATTAAAGAAAGTATCACAAGTAACAGCTACTACTTTGACAGCTATTTTGACTTTCCTCCCTTCATACGGTAATAATCAGATAAAGGAGAGAATTCTGAACTGAAGGACCATTCATAGATGATCATGTAAGACATTACAGAGAAAGGAGGGTTTAATGGCTGCTTTGAGTAGTTCAAGGATCAAGTGTGACTTTAGCATAGTTGAAATCAACATGTTGCATATTTTTAGGGGAAAACAGAGTTTTTGGGGTAAAATATTGTAAAAAAGAAATAAGATGAAGGAGAAATTTTGGGCTGTGTGTAACTTTCAATTCTGCATACGCATAATTAAATGGCGAATTCCTTGTTCTTACCTTTGTTCCCAAAAAGTGACTCCGTTGCCAAAGCTACTTGTATTGCTTGTGCTAACCTGTCTAATGATAACTGAATATTTTTCTCCACTTCTGAGTCATTTGGATGCTGCCTTGAAGAAAAAAAAAAAAAAACCATTCATCTTCAATTTTATTATTTGTGACACAATGAAGAGGCTGCCCTGTAATCTTATTTAGATACTGAAAAATGAATGATAGATCTTGATTTGCTTCGTACACAAAGAGCAAAGGCTTAAAACCAAATTTTCCTAAGCAACACAAGAATTTTTGTATGGGTCGTAAATTTTAAATGAAAAATGGACACAATGTAAAACTCATGAGGGGTTCCTCCTATGAGAAGACTAACTGAAGTGATTTCTTCTGACTATTAGGTATGCTGAATGTGAATCATGCAGACCTGTAGGATAAAGTTGGTTAGGGTAATTCCGGATGAGTGTCATGATAATTGTGATTTTGAAGTAAGGAAATTTTTGTGCTAATACATAGTTGTCAGTGATTAACTGGTCACCCTTAAGGCCTCAATCGCCACTTTCAATTGTTTACCTGTGAAAGGAAATTCCTTCAAGATATTTAAGGAATTTCAATCAACGAACTAAGGGACTTTACTAGAAGATGCTACCTATGATAGAAAATGTTTTTATATTCAATTTCCACTGTTCCTACAGATATAAAACATTTGTAGGGAGGGAGAAAGCACACAGATTTGTCAGAAAATTAAAATTTTTTTGAAAATATTCAGTCACAAGCATTAAAATATAATTTTGTAAATGACCACGTTTCGGCCATTCACCAACTGGCCATTGTCAGCAACTGTCACCACCGGGGGTCCGCTGCTGCTGTCATCCAATAAGAGCAAATCAGATTAAGGTGGGTTTGGGCAAGAGTCCCATGCTTGGTCAGGACCCTTTATGTTGGTGCAGTTCATCAGAAAAATGATTCATGCAAAATTTCGGTCAAACCAGAGAATTTCTATTGTCTCTTGTTGGCCTCAAAAACTAAGGTAAAATGAGAAAAATGTGAAACTTTGCAGCTTATTGGTACTTCTTACACCAAATAAACTACTGCTCGCTTTTTTTTATAAACTGCACAATTTTACATGGGAGTCCCAGTAAAGTTTTAGACATTTTCCCGGATGGATCACTCTAACCTTACCCAAGGGTGCAAAAACTTCCTAACTGTGTGATCAGTTCGGCGATAAAATATAAAGAAACCACATGAGAGCAGGAAAAATTAGGCAAGCTCTGCCAAGTTATTTTTTTTCTTGCTGCAGAAAGTCCCATTTTGAGGGGTATTTTTTTTTACCTATACGTGTTGTCTTCCTAGGGAACTAATTAGACGTATTACTACCAAACAACTATATGCAAGTGGAAAAGGTTGAGTGTGCCTGTGCTCCTTACTTCTTGGGCGGTAAGAATGAATGGGAATTATAAAGCACCAGTGCTGTCAGTAGCGACATGAAGCTGCAAAACGATGATCTGAGGCATCAATGAGCCCTGTCCACAACGCTCTAGATACATGCCCATAGCTCATGAGTCCTGTATACAGTTGGCACATAGTTACATTTGCTAAATTGGAAAGGCAGGATTTTAAATACAGCAAAAGGAACTATGTGCCAACTGTATGGGGGACTTATGAGCAGTAGGCATATGTATAGAGCGTTGTGGATAGGGCTCATGAGTTGATGCCTCAGATCGTCGTTCCGCAGCTTCATCGTCACCGCCGACGGCACTGGCACTTCGAAATTCCAATTTATTTTTACAGCTCTCAACTAGAAAGCACACCCCTGCACATAGTTCTGTTTGGTAGAAATACAGTGGAGCCCGTATATAACGAAGTTCACGGTTCCCAGAAAAACTTCGTTATGTCCGGAACTTCGTTAAAAGCGGACTCTGCGGGAAAATTCGGGAAAAATTACACAAAAAAAATTGCAAATATACAGATTCAATACTTGTATATTTTGATCAAAAATACACAATCTGCTCTCTGGGCGAGTTCCGCTCGCTTGCGGTAAAACATGTGACAGTCGCGGAGTCACGAAGTTACGAATAAAAGAGAATGAGCGATAACGAAGTGAGCGCTCACTGCGCAGCCCGCCGCGCATGTCTCACACCGCACTCTCTCACGGAAAGTCTCCCCCCTCCCCTCCATCGCAGACGCGTGCAAGTGTGTCCGCGTCTCACGGAAAGTCCGGCAGCGTGCCGATTTGAATCGGCACGCTGCCGGACTCCCCCCTCCCCTCCATCGCAGACCTGTGCAAGTGTGAGAGAGTGCAGTGTGAGACATGCGCGGCGAGCTGCGCAGTGAGCGCTCACTTCGTTATCGCTCATTCTCTTTTATTCGTAACTTCGTGACTCCGCGACTGTCACATGTTTTACCGCAAGCGAGCGGAACTCGCCCAGAGAGCAGAAAATACCGAACACAATAGCGGAAATGGCGGCAAATTACTTCGTTATATGCGAGGTGCCGCCGCCGAGACTTCGTTAAAAGTGGGCTTTTTTATTATTGAGTGTATAGGGAGGTTCTAGGGGAATGAAAATTACTTCGTTATATCCGAAACTTCGTTAAAAGCGGGTTCGTTATATACGGGCTCCACTGTATGTCCAATTATGAGTTTGGGTTAAAAGTGCAAGGCGGTCAACTGAATTTTAGGGACAACCTGAAACTTTCTACACTCTTGCCTGACCTATCTTTATACATAAAGCTTCTAAAGCCAACAGACTTTGGCCGCTTACAGGAGAAAGTAAAACAAATTTATGTCATATTGATCCAAAAAAATTCTGCATTCTTAGAATAATGAAATAAATCTCTGACTTACTTGCTCAACTGTTTAACTTTGTTGACTAGAATAGGTATAAAACTTGACAGAATTTGAACAGGTATGATGTTTCGTGGCTGAGGTATCAATTCGGAATGGAAACTTTCCTCTAGGCTCTGTAGTAATGCTAGATGTAGCTGTGAATACAAGCTAGAGGTATTGTTATTTAAAGGGCAGCATATACACCATCTGAAACATAAACTACATTAATTAGAATTATTTAACTTGAGCCGAATCTACCGGGAGACTGAATCTACAGCAGAATGCTTAAAAATCTTAAGAGAATGACAGGAATGAAAAATTGAAAGTAAAAGAGAGGAGGGTTTACTCAGACTACGTGATAGAACCTATCATAATTACATTGACATTTCCATCATTATTCAGATGTTCCTGCATAAAATAAAAATATTCATGAAAATAGTTCCCAAGTATTTTCACTTGAAAGCAATATTCTTGACAATGTAGATGGTTAAATGACGTAAAAAGACTAAATGGATTTTCCAGAGAGTATGTTTACCTTCTTTGTACCTCCTCAACTAATATCTTCGTCTGAAAAATGGCACTATAGCTTTTCATGGGCTTTGGCCTCCAAAACAACTTTGTGTCATTCTATCCTATCTTTAATCCTCTTTCTCCATTCTGTATACTCTTCGTTTTAAAGACTTTTCCTACATTTTAGGCTCATTTTAATCGTGGTCTTTCTCTATCTTGCCACAGTAACTTTTCTGTCTCCTCTAAGGCATTTCGCTATGGTCCATGCTTTCAACAAATCAAACCTTTGGATTCTTTCCGCTTTGATGAATCAAACTAATCTTGATGATCCAGGATTTGTTCAATATACGTGTTGTTTGAAATTCTCCATTATCCATCCTGACCACTCCGTTGATCCCTCAGAAAATTCCTCCTTCAAATACCCGCAGCATGCTCTGGTCTTTCTCTCGTAGAGACCAAGCTTCACCTCCATACATTAAGACTCGTTTATGAGTGTCTCTCGATCCTTCATGATGAAAGCTGGTTTTTGATTAGTTTTAGGTTTGCAGAATAAGCTATTTTTCCAAATTAAATTCTGTCTTTAACTGCAGTTGTATTCTCGACTCCAGATTTCCAATTTCTAGATTTTGAGGTTTTCTTGTTCTCCAATGCTGGTACAACCATATACTTTGTCTTTGGCACGTTGAAAATGAGTCCAAAGCCTCAAGCCTCAACTTAGATAGACAGAGAAAATCAGTCAAATTGAGCTAAAAGCTACTTCTCTGTTTTCTTATGTACTATAGAACTTCGAATTTGGTTCAGTAACACTCTGAGAAACTGGTTTATTCTAAATTCATTTCCTCTTCGCACTGGAAAAACCTTCATCAGCAGGTTGCAGCCATCAGCAAGTGAGCTGCTGCATCTGTTGTACTTTAGGATGGTTTAACCTCATACAAAACATGGTAGAAGACGGTTTATTGTTAATAATTGCAAGATTGAGCAAGTTTACTTTGATAATCAATAGGTTTTAACTGCATTACATGAAAAGGTTAAGGAACATTTGGCCCAATCAAGAAGCGGAGACTGCTAGATTATGTTTCTGTGCGTAAATTATGCTCTGATAGTTGTTATGTCACCAGTTGTACCTACAGCAGCTAAAATTCTGAATCATTTACATTATAGTTATCATAAAGAATTCATTTTCATCCAAGTGGTAGATCTTAGCTGGAAATTTTTTGCCAAAAGGTGAAATGAAGGAAAGGATTCTTAATAATTCAGCCTGGATGAAAGAGTTAACAATGTCACTTCAGCTGACTGTTGTTCTGATCCAGCTGATATTATAGTAAATAAATCAGTCTTGCAATTTTTTGGCAATAAAATGTTCTTTTCTATGCTTTTGATTATGTTCAAACATCTTTCAGTAACTTTCTTACAATAAGTAATAGATGCTCATCTTTGTTAAAACGCACAATACAATTTGGACCTGCGCAAAACGGCAATGGGTCCAGAAAATCCCACTCTTACAGAGTTCTATTGAACTAAATTTAAAATTTTATTGCGAGTTAAAAAGCTAAGAGGGATACTTTTCCGATTATTTTTACCAATTTTCTCTGTCTACCTCAGTTGAAGAGATACAAACTAGGTTATCTTACTTTCTGGACCCCCTGCACGTTCAAAGTTTTTGACTGCTGTTACAGTAAGACAACTTTCCTGTGAAATAATGTCAGCTTGCTGTATCCGTCTATTTTCCTAGATACAGTTTAGCTTGCTCACCAACTATTTGTGATGAATACTTCTATCGCTTGCATATCTCTATACAGCATCAAACCTCTATAATTAGGAATTGGCTTACTTCAGAAGACCAACATAAGGCGTTAAAGCAGGCATTGGTATTCCTCCTAAAGGCAGCGCAGGTTGCAGATTGGTGATAATGGCAGTATAACAAAGTGATGGATGTTCCGTTAACCACTTTGTAATTAGTGCTACCAGATTTTCAGGAACTGCAGATTTATCTGAGATGAGAAAGAAAAAGAGGAATTTAAAAAAAGGATAAATGCAAGCAGATTGAAATTGAATGGCAGGACCAATAAAGTTGATTAAAATGTCGATAAAAAAACAAAAACTGCTGAACAACAAACACTTTGTGAAGAGATAAAGGGAGTATGTGTATGACAGCATTTTTCTCTTTTTGATTTGGTGAGCTCACTAGAAAGAAGGAACGTTTTGGCATGTTCTCCAGCAAATGAAGTGAAGAAAACAATGGGTCAGTTGCGCTGCTTACAGAATCGTGTTTTGATGCTTGATTCTTGCAACTTTCTATGTTTTATATTAATTGAGATATCTCGCTTTGAAAAAGTCGGTTTATGACTTCACCCACCGCAGTAGTGACACCCTTGGTTTCTTCCACCTTGCTTTCATCACTCAGGGAGACACACATTTGCACTGGCTACTCAACTAGAAACTTGGATGAAAGCAAGATGGAAGAAACCAAGGGCGTCATTACCGCAGTTGATGCCGTCATACACCAAAGTTTTCAAAGTGTGTTATCTCGGTTGATATGGAACGTAGAGAGTTGCTGTTTGGACAGATCTTATTATCATTGGCTAATTTACTAAAATCAGGCATCAAAACACATCACCAACATACTGATCCGTTGTAATATTTACTCAACTATCTTAAAGGGTATAGCGGGATGAGCATGTCAAAATGATCTTGGGAACGGATTTTATTTTGATCATTTTAGTTACCAAGGGTATCCTAAAAATTACTCTTTTGGGGGATTTTAGCCTCCTAACCCCATCTTCCCCACTCAAGCCCACCCCCTCTTGTAATGTAAATGAAAACTTTTTCAATGGAAACGTAAATTATAGGGCACCCTTAATGACTTGAAACAGTTGATTGAAACAAAAACCCGTTCACAAGGGCATTTTGGCATCCTTATTTGCAAGTACATACCCTTTTCATAATTCTGTGGGTTTGAGTGGAAATATTTGAAAAATTTTAGACTTTAGACCAAGGGCCACTTTTCATGTCGTAAACTGTGGTCATGTAGACTGGTAAAATTTTGAAGTTCAGCATCAAATTCGAAATAAATGACCCAAAAACATTTTAATTTCCTATACTTTCAGTGCCTTCATTTTCGCAATATACTTACACTACCAGAGCCAACTAGTTCATTGACTGATGAATTTCCAATATAATTTGTCATTCATGACATAAAAAAGTATAAAATTTGCCACTTGGTAAGGAATCAGTATCCAAAACACCTGAAGGAGTCCAATTTCATAAACTTACTATGTCTACATTGAGACGCGAAAATATGAATTCGATTTTTTAAAATGATTAACGTTTAAAAATAAAATAATTATTTCTTATCCAGGAAAAAAATAGTAAAATATGGCATCAAAATTCTAAAAACCTGTTATCAAATTTGAAATCAACAACAGAAAAAATCTGCAGTTAGTGAAGGTTGACATTCACCTCTTATTTAATTTCTTCCCTCTTATTCCTGACTTCTACACCATAAAGTAGGTTGGTGCTGGGCTTGAGAGTACAAAGCTAGGTTTGTGCCGAGTGTCCACCGCAACGTGCACGAGAGAGTGATTAAGGGCATAATATATTTTAGCACAGGATTCACCACACACAGTTATTTGGCTGATAGATTTACATGATATAAGATGAAGAAAGTTAATATTAAATATTATGCTCACCTATACTACCATACAATTCGGTCAGAGCAGTTAATAAATTTGCTGTGAACAGGGGAGCTGTCACTGGTAAATCATCGAGCATTGCTTGAACCTTAGGTAACAAAATAAAATAATCTTCGACTAGCCCTTCGGCTAGATCAGCACTAAATTTGGAACCGCAACCTACTTGCTGCATCACGATACCTGATCCAAGAAAAAAAAAAATTAATAATGGAAACAGGACATGTATTCTTACAAAAGTTTCATCAGGTGAAATGATACCATTATTTCAGCACATTAAACTTCATGAGAATCGATCAGAAAAACATCAAATTTAAAGAAGAGGAGGGAGGGAAGGAATTTGACTGCCCACTTGCAGAAAATTTAAATTCATCCCTTCTCAGCAAACTTTGATCCCAAGTAATTAAGGAAATTTGTTTCTTGAAAAGGATACCAGACAAAGCAAATATTAGAATTTATTTCCTTGTCATAATTTCATGTGATAAACAATGAACATTATGGATAAGTCAAAAATTAAGTTTTAAAAGAGACTTCATCCCGGATAAGTTACATTAGAATTAGCGTATTTAAACTTTCCACTGGTGAGAGACCGTAATCAATGTAGATCAATTGATCATTGTGCAAGTACATATCAATTTGTCAAAGAGAACTAATTTCAAATCATGAACACAAAAACCTCCAATTTCTTACATGTGAGATGAATTTGAAAATTTTCAGTGCCCCTACCATGTCCTACCTAAAATTTTGATGAAAGCACATGTTGTGAGGCTTGGTTTCTGATTTTATCTGGTGGTCAAATGTATCTCAAGATGATCAACATTTTGAAAAATAAGGGAAATGCTTTTTTGTGGCTGCTAGGTTGAATATTGATGCTCCGTTTTAAGGTGACTATTCAGCACTTTGGAGAACGATTTGACTGTCCATCGATCGACCGATAATTTCTAGATGCTTGGAGATTTCTTTAAAATCTTCAAGCACCACATCACAATGTAGTCCATTAGGCATCCATTCGCAAAATTTGGCTGAGAAAACTTTTGGAATAGCTCCAAAAGTACATCCTGGGTGAACATCACAAATGGTAAGGCGAAACGGTTTGCAATATTCATTTGGGACGAATAGTTGAAGAAATAATAAGAGTACTTGATGGACTACAGCATGATGTGATGCAAGCAGATTTTGAAGAGATGGCCAAAATCCAGAAATTATCGATTGATCCATCGACTATCAAATAATTCTCCTAAGTGCTGAAGAAGCAATCCTTCCTTGTATTCCTCCTTCCTCAGTGTCATACTTTCACAGAAATGTCAATTGTGCCATCTACGACTAAGTATTAGAATACTCTGTTCCATTTCATAAAGTCCCCAGAAAATGACTTGTCAACACGACCAGATTCGTAAATGGCGATGGCAAAGCAGTAAACAATTTAGGACAAAGATCGTAGTATCAACACAGGATGGAAAACCTTAGGAAGTTTTTCTCGACAAGGCTTACCAGTTGATGCCAGAACTTGGTGATTTTTTATTGCAATCGCCATGGAAACAAACTTGACTAAGATTCCAGCTCGTTCTAAATGTGTTGTTGGAAAAAGCAGCATAAAAACTGTGTTTCTTGCGGACTCATGACCATTAGATAGATAGGAAAAATAATCACTTAAAACTTCTAACAGTTGCAACTGCTGGATACAGGTTAGTTTCTGCAAGAAAAAAAGCTCAACTGAAAGAGGTGACAGAAAAATTAATTAAGAAGGCAAACAGCACAAAAACAGCCCCAGTAAAATACAGTTGCAAACAAATGGACAGAAGAAGTGATCTGGGAGTTCACTTGCCATAGAGAAGCTTGCCCAATGCCCAATCGCGATGAAATTTTCATGAATTTCCTGAGGACAGAATAAGAATATCAGGAGACTATGCTGTACTGATAATGAGACCAATTAGTACTGAATAACATCCACCACTGAGTTCCTGATTGATCATACCAAAACAAAATACCTGACAAACACAAAATTGTGCTGAATTGGGCTTCTTCCCTTGATCATGAAAAAATTCAGTTTCACAATGAACTTTAAGCATGATGGCAGAATACACCACCGCTCAGTTCTGGAAAATACTAGGCGTACATACAAAAGTAAGGAACCTAGTCAAATGTACTTTTCACCGAGCTTTAGCCTCAATCAATATTCGTTCATCAAAAGATAAGTAATGATATTCAGTCGTACATTTTTTCCCTGTAAAATCTGGTTATGAATTTAAGTTCTGCAGGTAAAGAGTCAATAAGAACTATTTTTAATTTTTTCTTTTTTTTTGTACAAATAATTTAAGTTTTTGTTCCTTCATTTCATTTCATGTTATTGAGAATACTGGCTGGAAGTAGAACAAGGACTGGGTGAACTATACATCAGTCTCTATTCTTGGGATTGACAAATAGAGGCTCATCTGCTGATCTACTGATTTTTTTTCTTCACTTAGCGGGTACATTATCAATTTAAAGTTCTGTACATTTGATTGCAGCTGTTGTTACTAGACACCTTTCCAGTGCATTTTGAGTATGTAAGACTTTAAAAGTTCAATCGGGTTCAATTACTGTAATACATCGTAAGATGTCGGAACAAAAGGGTGACATGACAGAAGAAGTGTGTTGGGACTGATAACAGGTAGCCTGGCAGGCTGTCACACCTGGCAGGGGCTGGAATCCCCTGCCTACACATACTACCAACCTATGAACTAATGAACTACGATCCAACATACTGTATCTCTTATGTTAATCTCACTTCCTGGGTTCGCTGGTGCACTGACTGTATTGTTAATAAGTTGCAATTTTAATAGGTCCTTTCATGATCCTCCGGGTTAAGGGAATTCTGTCTTACATCAACAATTGTTTTGGTATAATATAGTGAAAAATGTTTGGAAAAATAGTTTCCGTCATTTGGAAGTTTACACATTACATTGTACAGGGTTTGGTATCATTTCTCACTTAATTAGACGAGAGGTAGGTAATTGAAGTTTTTAGCAGTTTAGGAATAACTTATGCTTTTTTGACTATTGGTATCTCAGGTTTCATCATACGAGGTCATCATATATTTATGGCTAGTATAGATATGGATACTTTGGCTTCTTTTGCTTTAGCTACGATAATTAATGCTGCTCCTCCAGGAATTATGATTTTTAGACTGTTGGCTCCTTTGAGAGGAGTAAAATCTAATAAATTTAGGCCACTTGTGCTCTGGTTTATTTGTACTCCAAAATTTGAAATTCATGCTCACAGAGAGAGGAGCACTTTAGATACTGACAAAAATCTGATGATAAGACATAAAGCAAAATATTACCTGCTTTTTAGCTCGTCCCCTATCAGTCTCACAAAATACAAATTCAGCAATTATTTCCATGGCCAAATCTGCCTGTTTGATGTTGACTCGGCCGACACTTTGAGAGGCACACAAACCCTCTGGAACAAACAACCGATTGAAAACACTATAAGACATGAAATACTTAAGATTCTTAAATAACATGAATGACTGACACAGAGCGGTTGGGGTCTCACCATATACCCTAGTATGGGTAAAAAATTGATAGCTTCTGGCCAGAGGTATAAAACTCTTTTTTTCAGAATTAAGTGAGGCCTCTGGAGGGATGGGTGTAAGAACAGCCTTAACGCCTAAATGCTTCAGTTGTTCGCAGTTCATATCCTTCAACTTGGCAGCGTTATTTTCGGTTTGCTGGCATTGCTGGTAGCAACAACTTTACTTACTTTTTGCTACTGAGGCTGAAAATTACCTTACTTTTTCCTTCCACCTATTAATATCCCAGAAAATTAAGAATACCATGAAGATACCCATCATTAGCATTCCATGACATTCGCATCATTTTGTTTGGTACGCATCAGTATAATTTCATTTTGCATTAATCTGGCGCAGTTAAAATGATTATATAATTCAACAAAAATTATTGTTAGACGCAATGACCGCCCGTAAACTGCTTTTTTAATTGAAGAATAATTAAGTGAAAACCGAAAATGTATCTCAATATCAACCTAGAATAGAGTTAATTGTGAAAAATCATGTCATTTTATAAACTCCTTGGCATATAAAAACGCACCAATCTAGGCGGCATAATCGAATATGCAGCTAAAAGGATTCAGCCGGTACTACAGCTGCAGCTCTAAATATGGAAAACTAGGGAAGCCTTGGTTTCTTTTTGTGACGGCTGTCTTTCTGGAAAAAAAAAAACCTGACAGACCACTTTTACAGCCATTGCTTCACCTTAAGGTTGATGAGTACAGGGCCGGATTAAGGGGGTGGTCACATGGGCCGTGGCCCATGGCGGCAAATGTTGTAATTTTTTCAAATGTAGGTATCAAGAAAAAATCTTATTCAGAAAAAAAATTACAAACGAGAAAAGGCGATAAAAGCTCTCATTTCCTGAGAGTTGAAGTGTAGTAATTTCTAATTTGTTCGTCTTTTGGTGATACAAGAGACAAGTGTTGAGAGAGAATCCAAACACGCAATTTGGTCCGGAGCGTCGCGGTGCAGAGAGCAATGATGACGAGGACTTGAGATGGAAAGTAGAAGCCCTCGGCGCGCCAGTCAGCATGCATGAAACACATATTAGAGCCTACAAGACTCCATGAATACTTCACGCATTGCGTCAAACGTAGTGCAGTTGGCAGCGATCGGCGCGTGAAACGTATAGCGCCTACGAGACTGTAGAGATACTTCACGCATTTCGCCAAACACAGTGCGGTTGGTGCAGTGGCGGAAATTAAAAATATTAAACCACATTCATGTTTATTCTTTCATAATTTTTTCGTTCTTTTCTTACTAATGAAAGGCCTCGTCCATACAGAGATAGGATCACGGAACTTAATTTTTGCGCAAAGTTCCGTGAACTTTTGCTAGTGTTGACAGGGCTTTCACCAAAAATGTGCCCAACGCGAGTAAACGCGTCTCATACACCCCTCCTCCTCCGGCACGTTCACTTGATGGTTTGTATCGGTGTTTCAAAACGAACGAGAAGGGGCGGCAAAATGAAGGCGGCAAGTAGGTAAATCCGGCCCTGCTAGTTATAATTTAAGTAGTTTATCATTCTTGTATTGCTGGTTACAATAAAAACTACACAGCGAAATGTCAAAGTTGATTTCCATTTTGTACGGTATATCTTTTAGATCACATTCAGCAAAAAGGAACCAGCGCTAACACAGTACTTATTGTAAAAATGCTGCTTTCTCATAATTACCTATGAATCTCCCGGAATAGCAAATAGTTCTGACTTCCCACAAAATATTGTTAGTTTTAAAGGAAAGTAATATTGTAAATTTAATATCCTACAGATACTAAGTATTCTCAAAAGAAAAGGAGAAGTTGCCTGGTTTTGAAAACGCTGTAATCGCGCAGGTTCCTTTTTGCTAGAAGCAATCCTTTTCATCTCCTATTATAGTCTCCTAGAGGTATGTGAATGTATAAGGCATAATCAAAATGAACTTGCAGCATATCAAAATCAATCAATGCTGGGTGAAGGGTAAAATCGCCACTTCATAACTCCAGTTTGAAAAAGCTAACAGGTAGTAACAGAAAATAAAGCAGAGAACTATTTGCTGTGCATCTTACCCAATTGATTGAGCGCTTCCCTCACACAGGTGGGAAACTCTAGTTTCCTTAAACTATGCTTCAAGTCAACCGACATCTTGATCAAATGGGAAACAAACTAAAAAAGTTACTTGTTGCAGATGATGAAGCCGCTGAGTACATGTAACATCATTAGAAGATATCCCAAGAATGATTAACCGGATTCAAGAGAAATAAACCCGTGCGCGTTTTGAACGATAAATGAAACAATCATATGCATACTACATTATTTCTACGTTGCGGAAGACTAAATAAATGCTAAATTTCGTTCCAAAAATAATGTTCAAATTGGTAGATTGTCGTGCGTGTTGAGAATTTTGTTATTGTTGTTATGTTGATTTTCAAAATTGTTGTTGTTGTTTGGAATTGTTAGTTGGTGATGCTCTAACAAACGCAACGTCGCACATCATTCAGCAACCAATTTCATTGGACCAAATTTCATCCGACTCTTTGCGCGTGACTTCAAAAAGCCCGCGGGAAATTAAAAAAGGCCGTTCCACTAGTTCCTTAGTGAACCATGTCCATTTTGGTCGAAATTGAGTTTGGAGTGGATTCTTGATCAGCCAAGAGCGGAGAAAATAATTTAATTGTGTGCCAAAACAGCCAAAATCCTTTTTAATTAGCAGTATTAAAAAGGTAGGTGGCAGCAAAACGCACAGTGCTCAAACCAGTTTTTGTGACAAACCACTTTTACGGACATTGTAGGTACACTTTGGAACTAATAGCCTCAATTATCACACCATATCCGGCATGTGGTGGGAATCGTAAATCCAGGCACAACCATGCTGTTTTAATGTCTTTTGCGGGGGATGAGATGTGTCATACTTCAATATAAAAAGGTTCTACCCCACTTTCTTGAAGATATTTATTCATTTTTTCCTGCGTGATTTTAAAAAATGTACACGATTAAGGCTATGTATAAGTTGAAGAATTCAGGAAGCGAAAAAAAGGTTTTTTTTTTTTTTTCTTTTAGTAGGTATCAGGATTGTGCATTTCAAGTACTACTGCGCCCTTTGTGCAAGCTGTTCGATAGAATATTTGGCACAAAATCTACCTAGAGCTAGGACTAGTGCTTTTGTACTGAAAAAATCCAGGTTTTGTGACTATTTATAGTTTTAATCTTAAAACATTGTAATTGGATCACAACATTCTATATGTTTTATTCGATGCAATAAATATCTTGAATCTTGTATAGAGCTGGAAAAGGCCCTTGAGTCTCACAAAAGCAATGAAAAAAAATGTGTCCCATCAGTCCGGTCCACCCCCTCTAAAATTTTACCAAATTCCTATTTTAAACCAAACTATGAGGATTTTCATGGATCAATAAGCTACTTTTAGGGCCCCCAAAATTTAACAGGTTTTGGGGCTCCCGCAGACGCAAATTGCAAATTCAAGGGCAAACAATGTTGATACTTGTTGTTTCCCATTTAACCACCATTTATGAGCATTGAGTTTTTTTAAAAAACCAATGCCAATTCCGGTTTTAATGCCAAGTTCGCTAAAATAACACTGGCTACCAAGTTTCATGCAATTTCACCAATAAGGAAATTCCTCGGATTTTTCCCTACATTGAACTTGGACCGGCAGTCATTTTTTAAAAAATCAAAAAAGCAATCTGCGGTTTAAGCGGAAAAATGTCTTTATATTTTGCTTTCGCTTAAAGTGTCATGAAAGGGGAGGGGTTGCTATCCGGAACACAGTTGGGGTCTGCAATCCCCCTATGGTAGGCCCCCTGAAAAATTTGAGGGCCCTAAAAGTAGCTCACACTGATCCACAAATATCCTCAAAGTTTAGTTTTAAAATATGAGTTGGGTAGGTAAAATTTTAGAGGGAGTGAAGCGCACTTTTGGGAAACCCTATAAATTTCTGCACTACAGGATACAATAAAGGGAAAACCATCATTTTTTGCATTTCATTTCCAATAGTATTTTTCAATATTTTTCATAAATTTCGGAAAATCATGAAGTATTACACACGAAACTTCAAGATTTTATATTTTATTAAAAACAGCAACCCTGGTCTAAAGGAATGACTATTATGTCATTGACTGATGTAGTAACTAGGTTATTCCATATTCGATGTTTCCGCTCAGAACAAATGAACTTTTTTGATCGTTTTAACCTACTATCTGAGGGCAGTATGATAGATAGGTGGGATTTCAAGTACCAGAAATGAAATGTTTCATGGAATGAAATATCATTATCCTGTTGAATGAAATTTAATTTTCCTTGAAATTTGAACTTATCGGGGGCCGTGTATGCAACCCAGATAAAATGGATTGTAATCAACACATTTAAAGGCATCATCGACATGAAACCGTTGGAACAGCGATACTGTTCACAGCCAGACATGGACAAAGATAATGAAAGACTGGTAAGTTCTTGCAATGATTGTATTTCGACACAAAAAGCTCCTTCAAAAGTTCCAGTTCATAGTGGGAACAACCCCTTGAGAACTTAGATCAGGTACATATTCCTTATACAAATACAGGCATGTAAAGGACCAGCAGACTTTGGACTCCTTGTCTCTTATGGGCCAATTATTGAAAAACTATAAGTCAGCATAGATATTTTGGCTGCCATCTTGGATTTGGGGCATCAACACTTATTTAGGGTTGACGTCAGCAAAATTCTTTTCCTGCACGTCAAAATGAGGAAATGGAGATATGTTTGATACTTACGTCTTTCGCGATCTCATGGGAGTATCTATGCCCTATTCCACCCCCCCCCCCCATTGAAAACTAAAATTTCTTAAATTTGATTTTTTTTATCATTAACAAAACCTACGCATCAAATACTCTTCATTAAAGTGAATAAATATAAGGAAAATTCGATAAAAGAGGGCATTGCACTCATCCTACCATCAACAAAATGTAAGAAAATGACTTGCAGGATTAATATGTTGTTATGATCACTTGATCTTTCAGTTCTTCAGTTACTTTTTGATACATAAAAATAATTCAACAAAAAGAAATGGTAAAAATTGTAGAAAGATCATCTAACCTATGTAATTTTCAGACACAGTAACAAAATAGTAGAACACATACCAAAAATTCTTAAACAGGCTTTCTCATTGAGTGGCTTTCTCAAGTCTAGGTGTTTTTTGACCTCAAAACCATTAACGCCTCACAAAGTCCTCAAAATTCTTCAATAAAATTGTATGACTGCTAGGATTTGCATAGACAAGTAATTCCATGAAAGTGACGTTCATGAGGAGAGCAACACCCATGTTTTCACGGTCGAAAGCTGATCTGCCTCCTTGATACGAGTGGCGAGCATCATCCGAAATTTTCAAAGGAGAGTGCGTTCTGGAAGGCTCATTATTCAACATCTCTTTCACAATAGGCTCAACTGCTATTTGCTCATCTGCAACTAAGAGATTGAACAATCTGCTAGCAAGATAGGGCTTCAGAAGTGCTATCCTGGAGACGCTGGTATCATTTTCCTCACCTGGAAATAAATAAAAAGAAGAAATGATTCATAAATGGCAATCTATTAATTATACATATGGTGAATATAATACTTCTGGATGTGGGCTCTCTCTAACATGGTGCAATATAGGTAACATAGGATGACAGGCGATATTGAGTAAAGTATCAGGTAATAATTTTGTCTAATTTTCAATGGTTTTTCGAAAGTGTTTAATGTCCATCCTTTTTGCTGATAGTGATGAATAGATGCTTAAAGAAACCTATTATCAGTTTTGAGTGTCTGGGAAGACCCTCTATCAGCCCTGAGTAAATTATAGGATTCCCCACTTGGGCTGCGATTTGGTTGACAAGTAGTAAGTCTTTTCATGATTTCGGAAACCCCTTTACTCCCTTAAAACGTTCCAAAATTAGGTGCTAACCACTCTTTAAGACATATGAGATGTTAGTCCTGATCTTCCTGCCCTTCAACCACTCCTTCACAGAATTATACTTTCCTGAACAAATTGGAGTGAATACATGTATTTAATGAGATAAAGTGAAGAAATACAGAAAGTAATGTTTATGTGCTAAGAATTTTTTTCAAGCATCTAGAAACACAGCAATCTTTCAGTATCTTTTCTTTCACAACCTCTGAAAAGGATGGACTAAAGACACATTGGAAACCCAGGGAAAATCACTTACAATTATTACAGAGTATTTCTCTGAGCATCTCCTTTCTTCTTTTGTTAAGCTAAGTAATTCTAACGAGGACCCACCTCCAATAGCCCTAGATAATTTTTGATACTAACTAAAAGGCTTGTTCTAAATTTTCAGAACAATATCATTTCTCTGCAACAAACTACTGAGAAAATGTATTACATTCAAAAGATGTCAACAGGTATGGTACATTCTTTTGCAAAATTGTATTGCAGAGCAATAAGGATCGCCGCACCTTTTCAAAGTTTGAATGAGAATCATTAAAATATCACACCGATTTTTCACTCAGTAGCTTGTAAATTTACTCCCATTCAGAAGGATATAAAGCATGCAGCTAACAAGACCTAACATGTACCATGGCTGTAACTCTTATACACACATGCTTTTGTTGTTACTTATAGGAATAATTTATCACCATTATTGCTCAATTTCTGTGGAAACTCATGATCAGAAGTGAGTGAAAATCACTACAAATTTTCTATCACTATACAGTTTTTTCTGAGAACAACAATGATTTATAGAAAGCTTGCAGTTTTGCAATGCTCCTTATACATTTTTTAATTTCAGCTGTCTATTTTTAACTTAGGTAAATTAGAATTTTTAGCACTAGGAAGTAAAGCATATTTACTTACTTGCTTTTCCCATGCATTTTCCGTTAAAAAATAGTGGAGAAAATTAAAGAAAAGAAAGGTAATTTTAGGCTAGCAATTTTCTAAGAGATGTTCTCAGTATATGCATACATGTTTGATTTATTGTTCAAACATTATGTGTTTTTATTCAGACGTCACCCTCTCTGAGAATGAATTTCTTGCAGACGGTATGTTTGTACCACAGAAAATAAGAAAAGCTTACTCACTGAAAGGAGAAGGACGCCTGGCAGATAACATAGGGATGAGCATTGACAATATTTGTAATCTCATCATAAAAGCTACATTCGTGCCAGGATTTTTGGAGCCCTGTCTCTGTTTGATTTGTTCCATGACGTAAATATCTGCAGTTGGAAGTTTTTCATAAATACTCTGGAGCTGAAATACAATTTTAAAAAAAAATTAAAATAAAAATATAAAATTTGAATATTTATTTTATGCCACCTCAAAGTAAATTAGCATCTTGATGTACTGATATACTTGATGACTAATTTATGACTAAAATCTTATAATTTTCCTCATTTACAGGACTGCAGAAAAAAAAGACCTACAGAAACATGAACAAACATAATAAGAGTTTTGACAGTCAGGTATAGTTTATCCCATTAATTTGTGAAAGTTGGATTCTATAGAAAAGTGTAGAAGGGTTTCCAAAAAGCATGAAAGGATCCCAAAACTAACTACATGGAAAAGTGGGCCCTGAGCTATTTGGCTGAATACTTGTTAGGTGTGTTACAGAGATACCTTATTGATCAAAAGTCTCAACAGACATGAGGTCTAAAAACCAAAAGAGGACCATCTAGAAGGGAGAAGGAGCCATTTTTGAGCTTGACATGTAAGACTTAAAATCGACATCGCAGCATTTAGTCTCTGTCTCAGTAAGATAAATATGGGAATTTGTGCGTAAAAGGTGTCGAAATAGTTGATGAATACACAATGTTAAAAATGTTAATTCTTTGCCACAGGAGATGCTCAAAAAGTAGGTTAAGTAGAGTGTAAGAAGTGAGTGGTGCTGCAAAATGGTGCAGACAAATGTGAATTTAATAAAGTAGCAGAGTGGGCTTTGTTGTGGGATTGTGTAGGAAGATGATGTATTAAAGTGAGCTGTTTGTAAAATGGTGCTGCCTTCAGCCATGTTGCTAGTGCCTAAAAACATAGGTAATTGTCGATGATGTCAAAAACCCGATCACTGCTTGAAAAGGGCTTTTTTTTATCCGTGGAACGTATGGAACGCGATGATAGCGGTTCGGGCTGGTTCAACCAGCCTGAACCAACCTCAACCTACCTCGGAAGAGTGGTCCAAGCATTCCACTGGAACACATGGAACGCGCCAGTGGAACGCAATAAAAAAGCGATGCGTTCCGTTGCGGTCCACCGTGGTTCGGATAAAAAAAAAGCCCTTAACACATCGATGGTCAAACTGCAAAACCATGTATCTCCATTGCAGTGTTTCAAAATGTCCACATTTATTCTAGTTTTATGAAGAGGAACAAGCCAAATAGCTTAAAATATGTGGAGAAAAGTCTGCTAACAAAGAAGGAAAAGCAAGGAGGCTGTCAAGAAAATATGTTGACCAGTTTTCCAAAGAAAAAGTAAAGTATGGCAGGAAGTCTGCAATCTTTCGAGGGAGATATGTGGTTTTGCTTTTGGGTCATTGATATGGATGTCCTTCTGCTATGGACTCTGATGGATAATACAGCTGCTTTCATTAGGGGACATTTTCTGATATTCAAAACAAAGCATTTGTAACAAAAATAGTAGGAGCAAAGACATTCTTACCAGTTCAAAAAGTTTAATAGGATCCATTCTAATTATATCATGGGGTAAATGGACAATGCCCCAGTCTGATAGGAGATTGTCTTTTCTGCATAATTTGGACCAGCTGATAGAATCCAGCCGCAGATTGACAGCGACTACACTAGAAAGCTCCTGACAGAGGAAAAAATAATTAATTGATATAAAGCGATAAGAGAGCAAAGGTAGGAAAATGTTAATTATCAGGAATAGACTAAGGCCCTACCGAAAGTTGGCTCAGTGTTTGAAAGAGTCATGAAGTATCTGAACTCCTTGTGAACACATTTTGATTATTTGTAATTTTGGTTTTCCAAGAAACTTAAGGAACCGAAACCAAGTTCTAGAATGATTCAATGTCAATCATACAGGCGGCCACTATTTAACACAATCTCTTGTTGCCCTATGCTAGCGTAGAGGTACAAAGAATTTCAATGGAATGAGAGTATCATTTGTTTCACTACAATGGTTGATGGCTACATTCCTTATCAATCCATTCAATCCATCGGAAAAAATCCCTTAAGACTAAATCTGCTATGGAAAAAGTTACTAGGGAGTACCTGAATAAAACTTGTATCCAAAACAGGAATACAGAATGTAGAGGAAGTTTTGCCTCTTTTTTTCTTAACCGTTTGTGATCCGGAATCATTGATCATGAGTGAGGGCCCTGAATTCAGAATATTTTGACTTGACTGGCTGAAAGAAAGATGAGGCACTTTTGCAAATTTCAAACATCTACACCTGAGTAGTGAGTTCTTCATCTTAGAGAGTAAGAAGTCTGAGAAAACTTATGTACCAGTAATCACTATACTTCTAATGGCATGCGTTTTTAGGGGATAGAGATAGAATCAATACTTTATGTGGCAAATACGATAAGTTGCAAGTGGTTACAAATGAGAGGAGAGACTTGAAGTAATTTGGATGGTTCTGAAGCTTTGGCAATGGTAAATTTCAGGCACTAATAAGCCTGCGACACTCTGAGGGACAAGATTCAATGTGCGATACAAGATTTTATTTTAACAGCCAAAAGCCAAAAAATGTTGTTGTTGGTTTGAGTATGGTGCAATCTGGCTTTTGGCCAATCGGCGACAAGAAAACGAAATACTGCCAACAACTAACCTCAAATGTAAACAAAAACAAATCCCACAGTAGTATCAATAGTAGTATTCTGTATGGTTTCTGATGAAAGTCGTTTGCCGCCTATCTTTGCAAAATCAATCCTTTGCATTGGCGAATGGCGATCAGCCGAATGCAACTCGTACCGAGTTTGATAATCTGATAAGAGTTTAGTATTTTCACCAAAATAACAAGATCATGGCTGTTGCTGCAACACATCTCCGTCAAACTTTATTGAGAAGTTCTTGTTTGTTCCGAAAAAGTGCTCTTAAACTCGCGCCTGTGACCCTACAGCCATGTAAATTTTTTCACTCAGAACTGCTCAAGAATCTAAGGGCTACCTCTTGCCCTTCTCTTACTTCTCAGAATTCGCAGGTAGTGGTAGCTTAATTTTTCCTCTGTGTCTAATAAGTTGAGTCTATGCGGCAGGTGCAATTTGCAATTATGTTTTTCTATCGTAGCTGCTAGCCCAGTTCTAAAGCATGTAGTATCTTCATCTGTTATCAGCCTCTGGGTGAGAGCCTAAATTGACCTCAAAGGTTCTTTAAAGAAAGGGATCAGCAAGATCTTTTTTACATTTTTAACTCTATCATGAAGGGACAGACTGAAAGCACAGTCGAAATTTTCTCATCCGGTATCATCTTCAGGGCATGATATAGTGCCTTTCAGAAGTCTGCAGGAACAGTGGTCAATGACCTCCGAAGATCAATGATGATTTGCGGACGGTTATAGGACGTGTTTATCATTTGAGGAAACATCAGTCCATACACAAAGTTATCAAGGTCACATATGTTTCCGTCCTTCGCTAAAGTAACATCATTTACGATTAGCTACAGTGTTTCAGTTCTTGTGTTGATCAGATTTCCTGTAGTGAAATGTCTGAACAAATCTCAGCGGTTTTTATCGCATTTTATATTTTGGGTCTGGTCCCTGAAAGGACCCTGCACACCTCTTACGGGAAGCTGCACCATGAAGAAACCGTAATTTTTTATGGCATTCGATTCTCCTCAAGATGCTGATCTAAAGTTATCATTGCGCCAACTTTCTATGATGCACCTTTTTCGCCAAAAACGGCAGAGAAGATTCAATTATTCGGCGATAAAAAGCCAGATAGGTTGCTCATTTCAGCACCTGAGTGCTGTGTGTCAACAAGAAAATAAGGGAACTCCCGCACCGACCGGCAGTTATATCTCGGATTCTGCATGCCGTTTTGCTCGTCCATCCAAATTAGATTCTTGAGGAGCATAAGAACAGGAAAGTCGGAGAATAACAGTGAACGTCTCCGGAAGAGAGCGGGAGGGAGATAGCCCCAGAGTCCGCAGGTACAGAGAAGAAGATAGACACTCGCTACGTTTTTTCCTTACTTACATCGGGCCTGTTCTTGAATGCATAGTTCTTTTTTATTCATTGTCGCCGAATAATTGAATCTTCTCGGCCGTTTTTTGCGAAAACAAAGCATCATAGAAAGTTGGCTCAATGATAACTCTTGATCAGCATCTTGAGGAGAATCAAATTCCATAAAAAAACTAAGGTTTCTTCATGGTGCAGCTTCCCATAAGAGGTGTGCAGGGTTCTTTATCACTGTAAAACGAGAGTTAACCCTTTCATGTTTACAAATGGACGGAATTAAACAGAAAGGAACCAAGCCACATCGGGATCGAACCGAGAAAAAGAGGTTTAAAGTTTGGCTCCTGCATAAGACTCAATGTAAAAGATAAACTTCAAGTTCAATTTCTGCAAAATTTGCTCCAACAAAAACTTTGAATTTTTGGCGATAGATAGTAGAGCAGTGGTTGAGTTCAAAACCACTCATAACTCAATTTTTTCCAAAATGTGGGTTGGTTCCTTTCTGCTTAACTCAGTCCAAATGACCCAGGTTGTAGGATTCAGAGGTCTCAACGCCTCTGGTGACAGTTGACCACTAGACAAGGTACGAAGTTAAGAATTCTGATACATGTTTCCTAATCGAAATTTCTCGTAGAACTCAACTCTTGCAATGAAAACTACTGAAACGAACTTGTAACCAAGATATTTGATTTTCTTGATCATGAATTTAAACCTCCCCCTCATGAAAACTTAATGGTCTATGTGAGTCAAATCGCACACTAAACGTTACCGTGGCAGTCTCTGCGATACGAAAATATGACAACCTTAATCTTAAAGCTTTGGCTCAGATGTAGCAAATTGTTTACACTTTGAACACTAAAGGGTGAGAAAGAACAATGCTCAATTGAGAAGTCTGCCGTAACTGATTAAGGGCACAATTTGACTCACATAGAGTATCGCGTTTCTTATGACCAGGCAATTTAAATTTCCCGATACCAATGTAAAATTAAAATGTTAATCTCTTAGTTAGCAGTTGATTTCAGTAATTTTTGATGCAAGAATTTTGTTCTATGTAAAATTCTGGTTAAGAAACATGTATAAAAATGCTTAAATTTGTACCTCGTCTCGTTGTCCATTGTTTTGACTGGATGCTACCTTTAATTTTTTCATTCTTTTAAATTCAAAGATTATGGATGAATACATTAATTGCAAGCTTCATGAGACAAGCATAAAATCTTCTTACTCTACTCTTTGCCCATAAGATCCTCTAAGCACGAGGTATCTGAGGGGCGAATTTTCAAAGGAAAATTATTTGTTTTGAACAAAGAATTAGTCAATGATCTAAATGTACCTATTCCACAAGTATGTCTCACAATTCAATTCTAAGTAAAATTTCTAGCTGCAGCACTGAAATTTTTCGCGTCTGTGATATTATTTCTGGAAGGATATGATTTGCCATTCTGCCGTAGGTAGATAGAGTGTTTTTCTCCTCATTCACTTTCTGTAGGATGGTAAAACATTTTTCTTCTCCTGAAATTGAAAACCGTTACGAATCTACTAAATCATATAGGTAGTTAAGATCTTAAAAAATACTCCTGAATAGTGACAAGCTACCAAGGTTTTAACTAGGTATCTTCTGTCGAATTTAAAAAAAAAACAAATAAACAGTTAAGCATCCGATGTTTATGAAGCATACGTTTTCTGTAAACTCATTTTTGGAGCAACTCATTCTTGTATTTTTACTCAACTTCAATTTCTCTCTTTATGCTGAGCCCAGGCTTAGTTTTTATATCTTATCAAATTTGTTTCAATACATTCTGGTCTTCAGATTGAGACTTGAAACGGTCCTTGGACACACCTCCATACCGTAGGCAAACAGATTTTAAATATTTCTCTCTTTTTTTTCCGTTTCAGTCTCTTAAAATATCCCAGCGTTGTTATTCAAAATATGACGATGATGATAGACATCCAATTCATTCACAATACAAGAATACTGAGGAACGTTCCATCTACAATGTCGAGAATAGAGTAATGAAAGTTCTGAAAGCTTATGATCGCATAACTGCGGATAAGGTATTAGATATTTTACTTTATCTCTAAATTTTTAATGTTACAGGCTGTGCGATGTTATAGTCACAAACCACCGCTTAATCTGAAATTCATTCATGATAGAGTCCTTTTGGTCCTTAAGCTCTATGATAAAGTAGATCCAGAGAAGGTACTTGATGATTTTTATCTTTTTATTTGCATTATTAGGATTACATTTCCAAAAAGATTGATAACAACTACCTCGCCATTTTGAAGAACCTTGTTAGAGTCTGTTTTAATAGGACCATAGAAATGTTATTTTTTTATTTTTTATTTTTTTTTATTTTATAATAACTTATATATAACTTCCCAAGGAGCCAAATCAGGCCAGCGACTCACTTTTACTCTCAGTATTTTACTCACTCACGCTCCATGTTAAATGGAGCTGTATGATTGGTCATCTATGCCATTTGGGCGACGAGGGTATCATTCATAGCCTTTTATCTGGCCAAATAATGGACTAGTTTAAGGCTCCTCCTCAGCCCTTACTGGTTGACAACCGCTCAATTATTGTGCTCCTTGCAGGCCTCTGAGTGACTTCCTTGTCACCCCAACGTCATAGACGACCAATCCAATATCTCCATTTCACCTTATTCTTGTCCAGTTGACACATAAAATTTCAAAATAAATTTCAATTATTTGCCTGAAGATACCTTTAATTTTAGTGTCCAAGTGAGTTAAGTATTTCAATTTTTTTCTTTTTTTTTTTCAAAAAGCATATTAGTTCAACTTTATGAGAAAAGAGGTTTTGGTTATATCTGCTAGTTGGTGTATTTTTTTCTTTATTGTTGTGGATCAAGATCTGCTGTTTAGAAAGGTCAATGGGCGTTTTCCCTTGCATCAACGTTTTACTTTTCTTTTGGAGAGTCAAAGTTGTTTACTGGATCAAAGTAAAAAATGACATAAGTAAAATTCAGTTTGAAGATTTGAAATAATAAAAGTGAACACACCTGTCAACAATTAAAATGTTTTACCAGACAGTCGGCAAATGCTTTGGCAACATTCCAACCGATAACTTGCAAATGAGTTTGCTTTTTTTTCACATGCTAGTTGCTCATCGTGTAATACAGATCTGCAAAAATTTTTGTTTTAAAAAACCCTAAGGATTTGATTGTGATGGAATATGACCTTTGTGTAGGCAAAAAGTAAGTGGAATTAGTCAGCTTAGACACCAGGGAGCGAAAAATTTCCAATTCTTTCAGATGCAAAACAGCAGTGGATCACTTTTACATCAGGGTATGCAGGGGGATTATACAATTTGACTAAGCTGCTTTGACCTGATAGCTGGTATCAATAGCTTTTCTTCTAGATCTGTTCAGTTTATACGACTCATTATTCACCAAAGTTTTCTCTCCTCTCTCACCAGCTAACCTTGGACTCTCACTTTATCAATGATATTGGTCTGGACTCGCTGGATCATGTTGAAGTTATCATGGCCATGGAAGACGAATTCGGTAAGTCTGTTGTTTTCAGTGTAGGAACTCACCTTTGGTTATGATAAAAGTAGAAGCCAATCCATGAATGTATCTTTTGCACAAGGGAAATAGGCTGCATTTATAATTAGCTGATACGCTTTGATTGGGTTGGATTAGACGCAGATTAAATTTGACCATTAGCTGATACGCTTTGATTGGATTGGATTAGACGCAGATTTAATTTGAAAGAAAAGTGCCGTATCTAAGGCAAATCAAAACTTGTATCAGTGGTGTGGCATGGCTTTAAATACAAGGAAAACCGGTGGTCAGGGTCAGTGTTTTAGACAACTTTTGCTGACTGCANAGCTCATTAGCTGATACGCTTTGATTGGGTTGGATTAGACGCAGATTAAATTTGACCATTAGCTGATACGCTTTGATTGGATTGGATTAGACGCAGATTTAATTTGAAAGAAAAGTGCCGTATCTAAGGCAAATCAAAACTTGTATCAGTGGTGTGGCATGGCTTTAAATACAAGGAAAACCGGTGGTCAGGGTCAGTGTTTTAGACAACTTTTGCTGACTGCACAATCAATGAATCAAGGGTACTAAAGGAGGAAGGGGCTCAGCGAAAAGCAAAACTGAAATTGTGACGAAGACCTTATCCTCAAATGTGATAGGAATCATGAATGCAAAAATGGTATTTCTCTGAACTTTATGCCATCATTTAAGAATAATTTTTATTCTATGTTAAATGTTTGTATTCTATGAGGTGTCTTTTTAAATTTTGGAACAGCAGAAGTCTCAAGGAGCACGATTAGGGCTGTTCAGAGGATGTGGTATTGTTTCAAACTTAAGTTTTGTGAGAGATTTTTTAGTTTCTTAAGAAAAAAGTGGTACATATTGTCTTGTTGAGCTTTAACAAATATGATTAGTATATTTGCAAACTGAGCAAAGTATCTTCACAGTCAGTGTGAAAATAAATAATCATCGAAGTGTCTTCGAAGTATTATCAGAGTTTCAATATGACTTTAAGAATTGATTATTGTGCCCTTTTTTCAAGAATAGGTTAGAAGAAATGTTTAATGTAGTGCTTACATTTTAATTGTGTTGCTCGTGTATTAACCTGGTTCGGTGTATTACCAAGTCTTCTTCTTTATTTTTCCAGGTTTTGAGATTCCAGATGGTGATGCAGAAAAACTTCTACGACCAAAGGATATAATTCAGTATATTGCAGATCACGAAGATATTTATGAATAAGATTTCCAATGAATACTGGTTGTTACTGTTCTGAAAAAAGTGGTAGATTTGGCTTTCCTCTAATGTGCAGATTATCCGCAAAATTTGTTAGACTTTTGTAAATTATTCTTAAGGCTTTTCTTTTTATTTTTATTTTCATTAATTAAGATTCAGAAACTAACTTCTCCTAGTCTTTATTTCTCCTATCGTCTTAATTATTCAATGTCTCACTCATCAAAGAAACCAGTGTTGAAATAAGAGCCAATAAAACTAGATTGTTGAAAGTTACCCTTTTAATTTGCTTTCGTTTCCTTCATTCTAAGAAAGAGGATAGATTCTCAACATTGAATGAGGTTGTTCTAAAATGACAAACTACTCAACCCCATCCTGTTAGTGTAACAGATTGGCCCAGTTACTGTGCTTAAGGGCCTGGACACCTGGACAAAATTTCAACTCCCTCGGATGGAGGGGCTAATGTAGCTCATGCATGTGTCAGTAATTTGCAATCTGAGTAGTTTCTCCTCTGTAAAATTCTGTGAGAAACACATTGGTTTTCACTGTATCTAACTCTCAAGCTCATAAAAAGCTCTTAAAGTTAAGGAGGGAAGTGAAGGGAATTGCGTATTGGAGGGATCCCCCTTGCTACATTGAGAGTTCACCTCTAATTTAGTCAAACTTTCCATGCTCAGGTAGGGCGTAGGGAGAAAATACATTGGCAGGTTTGCCACTTTGGGTACTCAAAAGCTGGAAACAAGATAGCCCTGCTAATATATTTGCTCCTTATCATTTAATGGAGGATTTGACTGGATAGTGATAGAGGTGGACTCTCAGCATAGTGTGGGGGATCCTCTCCATTACGTCCTCAACTTTGAGAACTTTCTTTGAGCTCTGGAATTCATTTAAGAAAAAAACCAGAGGCACAATCATGTTTCTTGCAAAATTTTACAAAAGTGAGAGTACCTAAATCACAAATCCCCTACACATGCAAAAACTCCACTGTCTTGAAAGTGGGTGTCGCAAGCACTCTAAGACCTATATGCACCTTACTGCAAGTGAGGGTCAGGCGAAAACGGACAACAATGGAGATGTTGCATGTGTGAGGGATTTGCGATTTGACTGTTGATTCTTTTGTAGAAGTTCACAAGAAACACGATGGTGCCTCTGGTTTTCTCTGAAATCAACTCCCAAGCTCAAAAAAAGCTCTCAAGTTGAGGCCAAAATGGAGGGGGTGGGTATCCCACCCTACCCTGAGAGTCCACGTCTACATCAAGACAAACTCTCCGTGCAAAGATAGGGAGCAAATACATTGACAGGACTGCCACTTTATTTGGGGACTCCAAAACTGAAAACACGGCAACCCTGCTAATGTATTTGCTCCCTATCTTTGCACGGAGAGTTTGTCTTGATGTAGACATGGACTCTCAGGGTAGGGTGGGATATCCCCTTCATTTTGGCCTCAATTTGAGAGCTTTTTTTGAGCTTGGGAGTTGATTTCAGAGAAAACCAGTGGCACCATCGTGTTTCTTGCGAACTATTACATAAGAATCAACAGTCAAATCGCAAAAACCTCACACATGCAACATCTCCATTGGCATGTTCAATCGCAACTATCTCGGCTTCTTCATTGTCAGATCACCTAATTTCATAGAGAAAAAAAAGGAGGTGTTTGCATCTTGAGGTTTGTTCACCCTGTGACGTAGGTCGGTACAACCTGGCCAGCGAAATCCGGAATTCGGAGTATGAAAAACGGACCACAATTTCCCATTTGTTTGCTTAAACCAACTCATGATATAATTTCAAGCACTTTTTGTAGAATGACTTTTTTCCATAAATTACACAATTTCCAAGAAAATCGATGATAAAAGTCGCTGTACCGACCTATGTCATAAAAAAAATTCCAAAATGCCCGAAATGCAAACATCTTTTTTTTTTTCTATGGTCTAATTTATTGAGTTCGTGTTATCGATGAATTTCATGTCAACCTATTTAAGTTTCTCCAAAGTTTACCTAAAGCCTTAACACCGCCCCCCCCCCTTTACGGGTGTGCTGAGTTTTTTGACCACATTGGTTGGAGTTGATCAAATTTAGAGCACCTGCATAGGGAGAGTGTGGACATGTCGAATCATTAAGCTCTCAGGGCTCAAAAGAACAGCCAAGTTTCCCAAAATAAAAATTTTGCTGGCAACCTTCACATTCAAATGTCAAACCAAAAGTATAAGTATCTTTCTGCAAAACTGAGGAAAAGTTGCAAGAACAAAGCCATTACTTAAAGCATGCTTTAATAATTTTTTGGATGATGGTTAGTAATTGTAATAATAAGTAATTTTGGGCAATTTGAGATCACAGGTTGGCTGTCATGGCTGGAGGAAAAAAATTAGCTATTTCCATTTGGCATCATTCACATTCTCTCTCTCATTCAGATCTCTGCCATCTTTGTTTAGTCATTCACAGAACCTTACATATGACTTATGCCATAGTTGCTCTGCGGCTGCAATGTACCAATTTGCAAATGAATAATAATTGATAATAAAAAATCTCACCACATAAGACCTACTTCATACCTGCTGCAGTTTTATACAATAGGAATGCTCCAATTGTTCAAAGTTTTTTTTTAGCATTGCACACAATTCTGAATATAATGATCTTGCATTCTCTGCACTCCAAAATATTATTTACCAGAGGAAAGTGAGAAATTTCTTATAACAACTGATTTGAAAAATCATTATCTTTTATTGTAACAGAGCTTAATAAATAGACCAAAGAAAGACGCAACAACCAGCAAAAACTATCAAGGATAACAGTTGCACTTTAGTATTTAATTTTGATGCTCTTGGTGACTGATGCTTTGATTCCTGACGCCTCACCACCATATCTTTTGATTTCTCGTTTGACTTCTCGGACCTGTAGATAAATTTGAGAAAAACATTAAAAATCTTTTAGTTCGCAGAAAAAAAAAAGCTATGCCGCAGTTTAGGATAGAATTCCGTCATCAGATGGAATAAAGAGGAGCTCTTACAGCTCCCCAATTTCAGCTAGCTTCACCAGGCGCCTGCGGGTGGATTTATGGCAGACACAAATTTCCCAGATTTATTTAAGTTATATTGATCAACGAAAAATACCTCAAAGTTGCATGTAATGAGCTCCTGTTTAAATGGGAACTGTTGAGAAAGTCAAAATGACATTAAAAATACTGTGGCACTACTTTTGATCATACAGTGCCACTGCATGGTCCATACTGCAGTTGTCAATGCACAGCTTCACAAATCATGAATCGCCTGAAAAGCACTATGCAGTTGAAAGTGACAGCATGGTGGCAGGGATATTTTCAGACACTATATGGCTCTCTGGATAATGCGCCCTTACATGAGAGGTCAAAATGCTTGAACAACTTTGAACTCGTTCTTTTGTGGATTATTATAGTTCAAACAAATTTGGAAAAACTCATTTACACTAGGTGCCTTCTTTACTTTTTAAAAATGCAAGATTTAAGAGTTACTGTTATCAGGACAATTTAGCTTAGAAAATGAGAGGTTCAAAACTTTGCACAGTTTTTGCTATTTCCGAATCATTTTTCGATTCAAATCAAAGTTTTGAAAAGAACATGATGATCTCAGCTTACACAAAAACAACACAAAGCATACAACAGTTATGAATTCAAGTGAATTTATCTTGCTCTTAAGTAAGAAGTTCACATCCTAGAATTTCATAACTGCTGCATTCCTAGTATTGGGTATTATTGGCAAGAGAGTGCCGCTCTGACAAGATTTCATGGAAAAGTTAACTCCCGATACACCTATTGCCTCTAATTCCCTATGCTGAGGGCTTGAACACTTGCATAAATAAAATTAAACCTAGTATGATTTTCCTTTTCAGGTAATAATTGTTGTTGAGGAAAATCGAAATTATTTGAATTAGTTAGATGATCAACAGGGAGATTAGAAAGTAATTTACCTGTCCTTTCCTCCTGATTTTTGCTTTACGAAACTTATTCTTCAGCTTGACCCTGGGATTCCTATTTTCTTTCTTCCTGTGAGGTGTCAGTCCTTTATTTTTAGCAATTTGATAGGTGATTCCTCGTTTGTCATCGGTGCTGTTCATTTCTATGTTGTTCGTCTCTTCAGTTCTGATTCCTTCATCTGCTGAATCTCTACCACTTTCAGCCTCACTTTCTTCAGAGTTCAGTGAATCATCGGCTGTTTCTGCTTCCACTGAATTCTCTCCTTCCTCCAGTTTTTTCTTCTTACTTCTAGAGCTAGTCAGAGGAAGTAGGTTCAGGAGCTTCCGTTTCTTTTTAGATCTATGAATAAAAAAAATCATTTACATCAGGAATGGAATACTTCAGAACATTTAGATACTTAAGATGCCTTATGACATGAGGGATTTTTACTATACAGTAGAAACCGCTTATAACGACACACGTTTATAAAAGAATCCCGCTTGTATCGTAATTTTTGCAAGATCCCGTTTTTCTGCCCATACGGACAATGTAAAATAATCCCGCATACATCGGAAACGCTTATATTGGAAACCCGCTTATAACAGAGAGAATTTTCGTCCCAAATCGAAAAAATTCCGACATAAACGAGATTTTCCCAAAAAATTTCTGTGCCGAGTTTCAGAACATTACGCAGAATCGCAAACTTCAATCTTATCAGATAAGCAGAGGGTCAAAGGTTATGTTAATGAGCCAGCGATACATGGTTCATTGGCCGGTGCATCAATCATCTGTTGACACAGCGGGTGCATTGTTGTTTGATTGGCTATTGTGTTTACGTCACGCGTGAAATCGCAGACGCCGGTGCTGCTTCCTAGGCACGCGACGTAAACAATACCGATGAACCCTGAGAGATTTTAACCGTCCATCATTGTCGTATTCACCTAAAATTTATTAACATTATTTCACGTCAGTTTTAAAAAAAATGACAGCTTGTTGCATGGATTAGTTTTACTGTTTTGTATTTGATAAGAACGAATTTATATCTTCTGCTTATCATAAAATTAAGTACTGCTCGCGATAAAATTCAAATCGATCCCAAAAAATCGGGTATGTAGCTGTCACAACACGGCATCGGGCAGTGTGAAGACGGACCAGACGGACTCAGTTATTGCGGAGAGGGGCGGGCCGCGCAGTAGGACTCAATATTTATGCGAAAACCGCTTGTGCCAGAATCCTGCTTATAACGTAACATTCAGCCGATCCCGATGCGTTCTGTTATATGCGGATTCTACTGTATTTATATCTGAATGTAAGAATATCAGAAGCAAGCAAGGGAATTAAAAGGAATTAGAAGAAGTCAATAAAGGAACTAACACATAATGACAACTTACACATCACTGAAACAAGAAATATTCTCCATTGACATTTCTGAAATTTTCGTCATAACTAATTCCAGTTCGGGCTGAATTTGATTCTTGTACATGGGCTCCATTTCCTTGATCAATTCTCTGCATTGCAATAAATGTTTCATGACAGGATGATTTTTGATGGTTGAATTTTGAGCTTTCAATAACAAATAAAAACTAATGTTGGTAACATAACTGAAAATAAAAAAAAGAGAAAGAGTGAGATTGGAAAAGCATGATTAGACAGTTTTAGAGCGAAGTTAGTTTCACACAAAAGTAAGCCATGATGGGAGCTTCTAAATTGTTTGACAAATAAGATGGTTTCTTCAATGAGATGTAAACATAATCAAAAGAAGAATTGGTCAGTTACGCTGGTCAAAGAATCGTGTTTTGATGCTTTATTCTTGTAGATTAGATAAAAATTATAAGGTCTGTTTAAACAGCTACTTCCTACGTTCAATGTTAACAGAGATATCACATTTTAAAAAGTCAGGTTTTTGGCGTCATCCACCGTGGTAGTGACACCCTTGGTTTCTTCCTCTTTTGTTTGATCAGTGATTCAGAAGGCGCAACGCAAAACTTAAACGGCATAGAATATAATCAAACTGTGGTGAACTGACTGACCGGCTAACCTATCTGTGTCGTGTGCATCATCTCTTGATAAGAAGATCCTTGGAGTGCGATTTGGTGCTGCTGAAGTTTTGCGTTGCGCCTACTGCATCACTGATCAAACAAAAGAGGAAGAAACCAAGAATGTCACTACCGCGGTGGATGACATCAAAAATCCGATTTTTTAAAGCGTCATATCTCTGTTCATATTGAAAGTAGGAAGTTGCTGTTTCCTTACTATTTCTAGCTAGTCTACACGAATAAAGAATCAAAACTTGATTCTGTGACCGGCGCAACTGACCAATTTGAGTTCATCCACAATAAAGAGGAGAAAAATTAAAAATAAAGATCACTCAATCATAAACTTATATCACACACATTAATTAACACTCTGTCAGATTTTCACATGAATGCACTGGATTGTGAAAACTGTTGTGTTCAAAGATGTTTTTTAATCATTTTACCTCTATGCTTTTAGTTTAATTTCTCATTTTGATCATCTCTCATTGTGCCTAATTACTTACTTCATGATTAACTGAGTCATCGACAAAACAAATTGGGTGGCAGGAGTTGAAGGTAATTGATTGGCTTTCAAGGATGTGACTACACTGAGCAGGTTGTCTTGAACGCAATCTAAATAACCTTGAAAAGACAAACAAACGCATTATTTATAAATAGAATTGACTTAGACACGAGGCATAACTAAGAGCAAATGACCCTCTGGAGTGCAGATTATTTAAGAAACAATGACTATAGGGCTATGAGAGCTTGTTTAGGCTAAAATGTAGGCAATGGTTAACATTAACAGAAAATATAATCTAGTTGTCTTTCTTTTCTGTAAAATTTTGTTAAACATTTTACTGCATTTTCTATTTTTTTGTGGAAAATTTGATCTTAAGTGGAAAAAAAAAGTTTCTCTTTTCTCGGAAAAAATGTATTTTTCTTTCAGACTGAGAATTTGTGGTTGCAATGACAAGAGGCAGTGATACAAAATAGACTTTATTTTCTACAAGTTCCTTTTACCTGAATGATCAGTATGGGAAGAAGAATGAAAAATTGCGTTTGTACTTTTAACGACCACTTGTTAATATTCATTTTACTTGAACATAGAATAATACTAGCTTTGCTACAACAGGTGCACTGGCAGCTGAGCTGAAATAGGCCAACAAAGACCTTCAATGCTTGCATGCAGGGATTGGGAATCGAGTTTGGGGACAAATTTGATGGTTAGAGCAATCTCATGTTGGTGAGTCTGAGTGCACACCTTGCCGCGGCAGACCAGCACCTCGAGTTCAAGTCTGCCCATGTCTCGACTGCTGATCTCACTCTTTGAGTCTCAAGACTGAGCAAATCACTGCTTACATGTCAACCCTCTTCGTGATATTCGCGATTTGTGAATGGTTCAAAGATTTAGTCAATGAAAGCAAAGAATGCAGAGATTGTACACTAGACCAACAAATTCAAAACAAACAAAAATAACATGCTTACCCTAGTTCCCTGAATTTCTCCAAGGTTAACTGAGACTAAACACTTTTGAAAAGATTGCCCTCACATTTCTTGGAGCAAATTTTTCATTGAAATGTAAATAAAAGTATTGTTTTAAGACTTAAATCGAGCTTAAATGACCATAAAAGTATTCTATTCTAATGGCATAAGTACCTCTACCTCTGATTGCCAAAGAGACAGACCTCAGTTCATGCTTTCCCTAAAATTGTACTTGAAAATTTATTTGGTTAAATTTTCCCCAATGAAAAATAAAAGGTAACTGGAAAATTCTCTTATTCTCAGAATTACTTGAGGTAACCTATTTCAATTTCAGAGAAAAAAGCAGGATTGCTCCATTAAAACTTATGAACAATTTGCTCCACCCTATTGGCAGTACTTTGCCACTCATGCTTTACAGTTTCCAATACTGGTCAGTCCTAAGATACAGCAGTAAAAAAAACATTAACAAAAAACATTCGGTAAATGAGAGAACATACTTTTAAAATCAGCGATGAAACCTAGAAACTCGGGAGATTCTTTTTGTAATAAAGTTATTCGATCTCTCTTGTTCATTTGACTAAAGTCAGTCTCAATAATTTCTTTCTTGTCATCAGCATCATCAACTACTTTTGTTAAGTCACCCTGTAAAAAAATCAATTCAACCGTGAATTAAACTTAGTGATATGCACTGCATTTTGACTGAAGTTCAAGATTAGTTTAGTTAAGTAGTTTCAGACCTCATGGAGAGGGGCAAGTAGCAAAAAATGGCAGACGTTTCATCTACAACTCCCCCCCCCCCCCCCCCCCCCCCC